GACTAAAAATGATGTATTAAAGTTATCTCTTACATTTTCTGAGAAATGAAATTATGTGCTCCTGTTTCCTTTTCTTTTTTTCATGCCAAACTGTAGATTTTATTAAGGAAGTTCTAAAAATGGTTTCATTTAACCATATTGAAGAACTCCAAACTCACGGCCACACAGCAAGGCTTAGCTGTAAAGTTAAAGAGAATCAGTATTAAGGTTTTTTTTTTTTTAATTGCTTTGATGCTTTTTATCATCCTTAAAAGTAAAGATTTATGTTTGCAAAGTAGAGAAGAATGCTGGCCTCTTCTATTACCATCTGTGTTCTTAAAAAGATAAAGACATTTTAAGAGTTAGATTTTTTAAGACAAGACTAAACCTTCTTTTTACACTTTACATTGTTTTAAATCCCTAACAGTTGGTCAGACTCTTGGTCTTGGGGTCATGAGTTTGAGCCCCACATTGGGTGTAGAGTTTATTTAAATTAAAAAAAAAGAAAAAAGAAAAAGAAATGGTCTAAATCCCTCTTAGACCATTCTTCCAGCCTGTTATAACTTGTGGCAACTCTGTAGTAAGAAAACTTCTTAGAACTGAGCTAGCAGATTGGACTTAAGTAGCAGTTACACTTCTTGCATTAATGTTAACTAGTATTTTAGGTGATATTTAATTCAAAATAGGTAACTGTGTTGTCTTTAAAATTCAGCATCCCGTCAAAAAAACGAATAACCACTTAACTACTTCCCAGTATATGTAAATGCCAGAGCTTACTGAATTGTGTGCTATTATTTGTTTATTTTTCCTATTATTATCTTTGATATTATTGGGTTGTACCACAAGAAATTGCCATTTTTAGGTCACAAATAGTCAAATATTAGCAGTTCATGGTTCAGGCTGCGACTTTTGTAGCATAAATAGACCACTGAACTTGTATGATTTGCTGCCATTTGTGATTGAGTTGACTTCTTTCTTTAGCACTGGTCTTGACACTTCCTCTCGGTCTTTATTCCCTGTACTCACCAGCAGTGACTGCGGTCCGCTGCTCAGGGTGAGTTCATTGGAAGAACTATTTTTCACTTGTCTTGTACTTGCCCTGTGTCTCCCTAGGCTCCTGCACCCATTCACCCCTACCCTATTCATTTGCCAGTAATTGCTGTTTTAAAAATAGGACACAGATACTCTTACCCAGTAAAGGGCTGTGCTCTTTAAAGTTTGAAAAATACATAATTTCTTGATGTGGTGTAGAAGAAAAAACACTGACAGACCCAGAGAACGTTGATCTGCTTCCTACTGAAAGAAAGGCCTTAGAAAAAGTAATTTAACACCTGCGGGCAGTTTCTTTTTGTCAATAGTACATTCTTTTACTATACCCATCTAAAAGCAGTTGGGATCAAATGAAATGGAGCTGTTAATTTCTTCTTTTTTTAAAATTTATTTTTAAATTGTATTTCAATTCTAGTGTGACTATGATACCTAGATATATATTTAGGAGAGAATTCTTTTTAATCTCAACTTTTAATAGCTGCCAAAATGAAGGTTGGTGATCTCTGATGTCCATTAGCACGTGAGTATACAAACAAAAAAATAGTGGTGTATCTTTACAAAGGAACATGAGTCAGCAACAATGGGGCTATATAAGTTGGGGATCCTAAATGCCTACTCCCACTGTCTTCAGGTTGTGTGATGTGAGTGTCATTTTAGATGTATGTTCTCCTGGGACTCTTCTTGTCTGGGGGCAGATGGTGATGAATCGTGCACCTGAGATTTTCACTTCCTTCTGTTAGAGAAAACTTGCTTAGAAAGATATAATAATTGAAAAAGTTAAGGTCTTCATCTCCTAAGATTTCTTCTCTTCCTTGATAATTTTTCTTTAAAAAAATTTTTTTTAAATTAATGTTTTTTATTTATTTTTGAGAGAGAGAGAGAGAGAGACAGAGTGTGAGCAGGGGGGAATGGCAGAGAGAGAGGGAGACACAAAATCTGAAGCAGGCTCCAGGCTCCGAGCTGACAGCACAGAGCCCGACGCAGGGCTCGAACTCACGAACCGTGAGATCATGACCTGAGCCGCAGTCGATGCTTAACCGACTGAGCCACCCAGGCGCCCCCTTTCCCTTGATAATTTTTCTTGATATTCTTGGAATGAGAAAAAAAAATTTTTTTTAGGATGAAGTCTTGCCATTTGCAATGAAAAAAAATTTTTTCAGCTATTTGGTTTGTGATGAGAAAAAGGTAGCAAATTGCAAAATAATAAGGTGAATGCAGAAAAAAATAATGTATACTAATATGCAGGTGTATCACTCAATTTTTTAAAAACCATCTTTAGTGAGATATCACTTGTATACAATAAAATTCACCAGCTTTAAGTGTATAATTCCATGAGTGTTGACCAATGAATGTAGTCAGGCAATCACACCACAGTCGAGGAATAGGATGTTTTTGTCACTCCCCAGGAGTTCCCTCATACCCCTTTGCAGCCAGTCCTCTCTCCACTCCCTGGCAATCACTAACCTGTGTTCTGTCTCTATAATTATGTCTTTCTTAGAATTTCCTATATATGAATGCACTCAGTGTATAGTCTTTTGTGTCTGGCTTATTTCATGTAGCATAATGCTTTTTGAGATTCATCAGCATATTTCCTTTCTCCCTTTTATCGTGTTTTCCCCCCACTTTTCCGAATGTATGGCACATATTTACAATAGCATTTTGTGCATCCTTGTCTGCTGGTACTCTTATTTATGGTCTATTGCTATTGATTGACTTACCTCCTGGTTGGTGGGTCATATTTTCCCGTTTCTTTGAATGGCTGGAATTTTTTATTGTATGCCAGATGTTGTAAATTTTACATTACCAGGGGCTGCACTTTGTTGTATTCCTTTAGGTAGTGTTGGACTTTGTTCTTGGAATTAGTTGGATCCTTTTGAGACTTGCTGTTAAGGTTTGTAAGGGTGGATCCACAGCAACTTTGAGTCTAGGGCTAATTTAGCTCCACGACTCGTGTGACTCTCCATTTTGGAAGGTGACAATACACACTGTTGCCAATTCCGTATGAGCTCTGTGAACTGTTGAGTCTGCTGCTTTCTGCTGGCTTTTTCCCCAGCCCCTGGTGGTTTCTTCTCAAGCACAAGCAGATGACACTCAGCCAGAGGCCCAAGGGGACCCTTCTGTAGACCCCCACACTTCTCTCTTTGTACACTTCTCCCTCCTTTCCTGTACGCTGCCCGGCAAATTCTAGCCACCTTAGCATCCCCAAACTCTGATCGCTGGTGTCCCAACTGAGGAGACTAGGTTCCTGTCCCTGGGCAGCAGCCTGGGACCTGCCTCTAGGCAGTCAGGGGGCAATCCAGAGGCTTCTGTATTGTTTTCCTTCTCCCCAGCAGCATAGTCCTGCACTGCCTGTGGCCTGGTGTTTGAAAACCATTGTATATACATTTTGTTTTATGTGATTTGTCCAGTTTTCTGTTGTTAACGGCAGAAAGGTAAAACTGGTCCCGGGTATTTTACCATGGCCAGAAGTAGAAGTCTCTTTTTCTAAATGTAGAGTTAAGCATGTATTGGTATTTCTAGGGAAAACTTGGGCACAGGGCTCTGAGATTCTCAATATACTTAAATGTAACATACTTTAATGTCTGCTTTAGTGTAGGACATATGTCATAACTTAAGTGATGTTCTTCAGTGTTCACATTAAGCGAGTCTAAGTTTGAGTGTTATTCTCTGGTTAACTTGAAATTATTTACACAAAGTATTAATTTTGGGTTATTTGTAGCAGACTTATCTAGAGTGGCTTTGCATCAGTGGATGGATATGTTAGCATTCTAAGCACGTTTGTTAACCATCTGTGTCTCTGATCAACTGATTAATTTATCTTTGGAGGTATATGACACTTGTACTTTAAAAAATACAAATTTGTCGGGGCGCCTGGGTGGCGCAGTCGGTTAAGCGTCCGACTTCAGCCAGGTCACGATCTCGCGGTCTGGGAGTTCGAGCCCCGCGTCAGGCTCTGGGCTGATGGCTCAGAGCCTGGAGCCTGTTTCCAATTCTGTGTCTCCCTCTCTCTCTGCCCCTCGCCCGTTCATGCTCTGTCTCTCTCTGTCCCAAAAATAAATAAACGTTGAAAAAAAAAATTTTAAAAAAAATACAAATTTGTTGGCTCCCTAATATATGTGAGAAGATGACTGCAACCCTTTCTTATTTGTGAGTGTTTGTGGTTGGGAAGACCCTTAACCAGTGCTGAGCCCTTTGCGCACTGATCTTTTGAATTTAGGCTTGCTCTCCATGATGTCTGTTCGTGGACGTCTGTTCATAGATTTACCTACCATAATGTCAAAACCCAGTTCAAATATTTAGTCCGCGGTTTGAGAAATGTTTGTTATAATCCATTCCTATGTAAGGAAGATGAACAGACTGGGATTAAAAATATGATTTTATATTATTACGGATATGCTATTGTTGTCTGATAGTAGTTTCAGGGAAATGGTAACATAAAACCAAACTCTTAAGAGGAAAGTTTGGGGCTCTAAATGGCTCCATCTCTGGTCTCGTGTGTAAAATTATTTGCAGCATAGTTCATTGGAATGAATATTGAAGTCAAGGGACCTAGATTCTTGTCTTGGCTGTGCCACCTGTTAATGTGTAACTGCAGGCCAGTCACCACCTTTGTGGGAGTCACCCAACCTGCAAAGTGAAGATAATAGTTAATATTGTACCTACTGTTAAGGGATAGAAGAATGTTAAATGAGATATATTGAAAATGTTTAATGATGCTAATGTGCCATGAAAATATTAATTGTTAAACTTCATTTTGTACATTACAAAATCTATCAACACCTACTGTGACAATACAAAGCAAGATTTGTTTTTATTTATATTTCATACAGTTTGTTATGTGAAAATATTTTATGTTAGGACAGAGGAACCAAACATAGGACTGATTGATAGAATGGAGATAGAGGAGATTGCTCTCTTTTTCCCCACTCCTTTTTCTTAGTGTTATTGTTTTCCTCCTCTTGATTTTCCAGGCAAAGAATGTATACAGCAGTTAGCCGAAAACACCAGGTATTTCAGAAGACGTCTGAAAGAGATGGGCTTCATCATCTATGGAAATGAAGATTCTCCAGTGGTGCCTTTGATGCTCTACATGCCAGCCAAAATTGGGTATGTTTTATTGCAGATTACAGATGGGTCTCTAATTAGACTTAAGGTTTCTGTGCTGTTAGACTCAGGCTTATGTATTTTGTCAGCAAAAATTGTCTTGGCTTCATTATATTAACCTACCTTCATTTGCTAGAAATTCCGTAAATAGTGGATTCCAGTTTATGAAATAATGTTAACTTGTTAGTCTTTCATTAAACAAATATTGAGTTCAGTGCCCTCTTCTAGGAGATTGGCATAGATCAGTGAACAAAACACAAAAATAAAATCCCGGTCCTTGTGGAGCTTAATGTTCTAATGGGGCAGAAGTCAGACAAACGTAATAAATAAGTTATGTAATTTGTGAGAAGATGTTACATGTTATGGGGAAAAGTAGAGCAGGGCATGGGGGATGGGGAGAGTACCCTGTGGGTGGGCAGATGACAGTATTAACTTGGAATGGTCAGGGTGAGCCAGTGGAAAGGGAAGGTGACATGTGAGCTTGAAGGAGCTGAGTTAGCCACTTAGAGAAAGAAGTTCTCTGCAAATGCCATAGCACAAGAACATGCTTAGCCGATAGAGGGGTAGCAAGAAGGTGAGTGGAGCTGAAATGCAGTGCCCGGAGGGGAGTCGTGAGCCTTGAGGTCAGGGTGTGTTGTTGCAGATTACACCAGTTTCTTTGATTTGTGCAACTCGTGTATAATGGAAAGCCTTGCTCTGGAACCGCTTCCAGTGTGTTTGACAAGTCCAGGTATATAACAAAACCAGAAGACATTTGAAAAGTAATTTAAAAAAAAAAAAAAAAAGGAAGGAAGAAAGAAAAGTAATATGAAGTGAGCAAATATAGTTACTTGCAAAGTAGGCAAAACTGCATCAGAGATTAGAAAGGAGTTATCTGGGGCACCTGGGTGGCTCAGTCGGTTAAGCGTCCTACTTCAGCTTGGGTCACGATCTCGCGGTCCGTGAGTTCGAGCCCCGCGTGGGGCTCTGGGCTGATGGCTCAGAGCCTGGAGCCTACTTCCGATTCTGTGTTTCCCTCTGTCTCTGCCCCTCCCTCGTTCATGCTCTGTCTCTCTCTGTCTCAAAAATAAATAAACGTTAAAAAAAGATTTTTTTTAGAAAGGAGTTATCTACTTAGTATAGACTCGGGTTAAAAAAAAGGCACATTTTTTCAGATTTGTGGGTTTTGACTGATCTTAAATATAAAACTGGATAAGGATCGTTTCTCAGGTTTAATTGAACTCATTAAAGAAGCAGATATTTTTATTCATCTTTGAATCCCCAGTGCCCACCATGATCCTTGTCACTCAGAGGGCACTCAGTAAATGTTTATTAAAGTGGATATAGGAGGGAAAATTAAAGCGGAGAAGTATGGTGATTGCAAAGATAACGAGGAGGAAATTAGGGAAAAGTGCCCACTGAGGGAAAAAAAGTTCAGTTTTCAACAGGAAGTCCTATGCGCATTTGGCCTCATAGCCTTACAGGGATGGAGGAAATGAACCAAAGCAGAGGTGTAGATTTTCTCCCTCTTCTTTAAATGGAATTATCATAAATAAACAAAGAGTTGTGTGGTCTGAAGGACTTCGTCTAGAACTGTTTCTTTCTTTCCTTTTTTGAAAATGTTTATTTTGCGAGGGGGGGTTGCAGAGAGAGAGGGGCAGACAGAGAATCCCAAGCAGGCTCTGAGCCACCAGCACAGAGCCCGATGCAGGGCTCAAACCCATGAACTGTGAGATCATGACCTGAGCCGAAATCAAGAGTCGGACGCTTAACCATCTGAGCCACCCAGGTGCCCCAGAACTGTTTTTTTAGAGAGGACTATGTCTGACCTATTCTACACAAGGGAAACCTGACTGTGCAAAGTGATTAAGATTTAGAAAGGGTGAATAAAGCACTAGACCGTTTGGGAGGGTGACTGAAGATGCAGGGTGCTCGGGGTCAAAAGAAGTATAGAGGAAGTGGAGAGAGGGTGGCACTTACATAATTGGTTACTCATGTAACTAAAGCGTGGAGGATTTTTTATTCTCAAACAAATGCTTTAAAGAGCTAAGGGAATAGTCAAGAAGGAATAAGGTAGGTCAGCAAGAGGGAAAGACAAAAAACAACATAATTAGCAAATAAGAACTTACATGAAAGTTAGAAGTCTGTTATTTAGACAAGATATAGATGTGGAGTGGGGCCACGTGCCATGACTTTGGTTTAGGGTGGAGAGTTAAATAAATTTTGTGTAGTCTGGGAAATCAGCTGAAGCCTGGGGATGAGTTTGCCTCACAGACACCAAAGGAAATCCTAAATTCCAAGTCAGAAATACCTGGTCTTTGGGGCACCTGGCTAGCTCAGTCTGAAGAGTTGTACGACTCTTGATCTCAGGTGAGTTTGAGCCCCACGTTGGGTAGAGATTACTTAAATAGATAAATAAACTTAAAAAAAAAAAAAGAAATACCTGGTCTGGAGGGCTAATACTAATCGGCCATTCTGCCAGCAGAAAGATGTCCATGTTACAGCAGATCTTCTGCATCCGTAATCTTAAGAATTCTTTAAATTTACTGCCAATTCTAATATTTCAAGGACAAGGTTTTAAAATTTTTAGTTTTTTTTAAATGTTTATTTATTTTTGGGAGCGGGGTGGGCAGAGACAGAAGGAGACACAGAATCCGAGGCAGCCTCCAGGCTCTGAGCTGTCCACACAGAGCCCAGAGCTTGCCTCGGATTCTGTGTCTCCCTCTCTCTCTGCCCCTCTCCTGCTCTTGCTGTGTCTCTTTCTCTCTCCCAAAAAAAATAAAATATTAAAAAAAATAAACTCAAGTTCATTTTGAAGCCTCTGAACCACTCTTATGTGTCAGGGACACTTTAAGGCTATAACTGCAAATCACTTTAGTCAAGCCCTATTAAAAATTGGTCTGTGACAACTATGTTCTTTATCTTTGTGAAGGAAACCATTTGGAAGAAGACCACTTTAGGACTGAATTAAAGAAGTCTGGCAATTTTAACTTGAAAAGAAGTTAGAGGAAATTTCTAATAGAAGTCTCCAATGCCTGTGTCACCTGAGTTTAAATCATTCAGGACCAAAGACCTTTGGACCGTAGTTTATTATTCTTCCTGATTCTTACCCTGCTTTCCCCTTGCAGCGCCTTTGGACGGGAGATGCTGAAGCGGAATATCGGGGTAGTTGTGGTGGGATTTCCTGCTACTCCGATTATTGAGTCCAGAGCCAGGTTTTGCCTGTCAGCAGCTCATACCAAAGAAATACTTGATACTGTAAGTAGACACTTTGACCTTGATATAAACATACCTACACTAAGCACACCTAGATATCAGATGAAATTAATCATCTGTTGGTTGATCTTGAAGTTCTTTGAGCACCTGAGGTATTGACTGGTAAAATGGAGGAGGGAGTATACAGTGCTGCTTCAAACACTGCAATTTACAAAATAAATCGCAAAGCCATTAGCAACACCTACTAGACCCATCAGAGCTCTGGGAACTTCTCGCTTTATCTTGTTCTATTCTGTCCCTTATTATGGCCACTATAACTGTGTAATTGTCCTTGCGCTATTTCTACTGCAAGCCCTTTTTTTTTCTTTAACTTTATATTTTTAATCACATTCTAACACTGGGAAATTAGATTCAGTGTATTATTGATACTGTATCTTTTTCTTTTTCTTTATTTTGATGTGCCTTTCAAATTTTGTCCAATAGATTTTCCAATTTTTCAAAAATCTTACTGGTGAGTTTCTTCATTATTTCTTTTTTAACCCACTGATACCAACTTTTCTTCTATTCTCTTTTATTTGGGTGTTTAAAAGTTTGATGTGCCTTTAACAAAAGATCTGTGTCATTACAAGCAATGGCTACAGCAATACACTGTCTTCTAACAACAGCTTTGACTCCCAAAGACTATACGCATTCATGAAAGAATTTAGATGTAGCCAAGATATTGAAGTAGATTTATGTTGCCAATAAATATGTTTGCCAGTTGAGAATTCTCACCCTTTCTGTAAGATCCGCTTAAGGAATTGTTTGATTTTGCCTCCTGTTTAGTTTTTCTTGAAGCATAAAGTGCATTTTTTGAAACCAAAGATTTCTTGAAGTTGTTTTGTCCTAGGATATTTTATGGAGGTAAACATGAGCCTTATGAGGTACAAATGCATTTTGTGTGTAATGAGCCGTGTGACATGATTACATAGAAATGCCATAAAATTCACACACAGAAAAACCAAAACCAACCTCTAGAGCTAATAAACATAGCTAGCAGAGTTGCAGAGTAAACAATCAGCACAGGGGCGCCTGGGTGGCTCAGTTGGTTGAGCATCTGACTTCGGCTCAGGTCATGATCTCACAGCTCGTGAGTTCGAGCCCCGCGTCGGGCTCTGTGCTGACAGTTCGGAGCCTGGAGCCTGCTTCGGATTCTGTGTCTTCTTTTCTCTCTGCCCCTCCCCCTCTCATGCTGTCTCTGTCTCTCAAAAATAAATAAACATTAAAAAATTTTTAAAAATAAAATAAAAAAATAAACAATCAGCACAAAGTTAGGACGTTTCCCAATACTAGCAGTGAAGAAACAAAAAGGAAATTAAGAAAATTTCATTTATGCTAGCATTCAAAACAATAAAATACCCAGGAATAAATTTAACCAATGATATGAAAAACTTGTATACTGAAAACTCTAAAATGTGTAGATCTAATGCAGTCCCTGTCAAAATTCCAGTGGCTTTTTTTTAGCAGAAATGGAAAAGCTGATCCTCAAGTTCATAAGGAACCGTAAGGGGCCCCCGATAGCCAAAACAGTATGGAAATGGAAAATCTAAGTTGGAGGAGTCAAACTCCCCAGTTTTGAAACTTACTACAAAGTAATTAAATCAGTGGGGTGCTAGCTTAAGGATAGACATAAAGACCAATGGTGGTGAGAGTCCATAAGCACACCCATGCACCTATGGCCAATTGATTTTTCCACAGGAGAGCTCAGACTAGTTAATGGGGAAAGAATGTTCTCTTCAGCAAGTGGTACTGGACAACTGAATAACTATATGCAAAATGAACTTGGCCCCTACAACATGGATGAACCTTGAAAACATTATGCTAAGTAAAAGAAGCCAGGCACAAAAGACATTATATGAAATGTACGGAACAGGCAAATCCATAGGGTCAGAAAATAGATTGGTGGTTTTCAGGGCCTGGGAGGAGGCAGGGATGAGGATGAGAGTGTGGGGTTTCTTTTTTGAGGTGATATTGCTTTAAGATTACATGGTGATGAAAGTTGTACACCTCTGTGAATATACTAAGAAACACTGAATTGTACACTTTACAATTTGGGGTGCCTGGGTGACTCAGTAGGTTGAGCTCTTAATTTCAGCTTAGGTCATGATTCCAGGGTCATGGTGTCAAGCCCTGCTTTGGGCTCCATGCTGAGCGTGAAGCCTGCTTAAGATTCTTCCACAGCCCCCTCCCCCCCAAATCTCCCTCCCTCTCTCCCTGTCTCCCTGCCCCTCCCGCACTCGCACACTCTCTTGCTGTCTCAAAAATAAAGATTAATCAATTAAAAATAAAAGGTGACTTATGGCATATGAATTGTATCTCAATAAAACTGTTACTTTTAAAAATGAGAAGGGCAAGGTTATCGATCATCTCTGGGGTACAGCTGTCCTAGAATATTCTCTTATTCAAGGACCAAACTCAATTCTGATTTACTCATCTTTTTTTCCTAAGAACCCATCTCACCCTGTCCAGAGGTTGAGTGTTGATTATTTAACAGATGGTGGAACTTGTAGCAGTTTCTTATTTCTAATCTAACCAGGTAACCTATATAATGGCAAACTAACAGTTTCTAGCTACAATTTTATCTTTAATAAATAAATAAAACCAATTTATCTGAAATATTTGGTGTGGGATCAGAGGAAATCATGTAATCTAGATCCCTTTGGGATACTGTGGGTTTTTTTTTTTTTTCTTTCTATTCATTTTCTTTTTTACATCACTAAAAAATATCAGGTCTTTCTGAAGTCAGAGGTCATAAATGTCCTTTCCTTTGTGATCTCCCATAAGTCATGTGTTGTTTTAAATTAATAAATCCTGTATCAGAGGTCAGGGGGATAAATGGTTAATGGGTTCTTCCAGCTGAAGTCACTCTTAATTTATTTACATATGGAACTTACGGTTAAACATTTTCTTGAAGATACCACTGTTCTGATAGCATTCTGAAGTGCAGCTCTTAATTTGCTTTCTATATTTTCCACATTTGCAGTGAAAAATTTTTTTTCTTCTACATAAATTAAGGAATACTATTTACCGGTGGGTTTTTTTCTCTCTACAAACACTGAGTTTTAAAAGTTAAATTTAAGAACAGGCAAATGTGTCTTTTACTAATAATCAGTTGATTCCCTTTTATGAAGTAGAAGGTATACATTTTCATATGAAATTATAACCGTAAGAGTGAACAGAAGATGTGTATGACATGATGGAAATTTAGAGAGTCACACTCAGCTACTACTGCCCACCTTTTCCATTTCTTAGTCTAATTAGGGTGTCCTAGACAGAGCCCTGTCTCCAAAGCTGGGGCCCTTCGCCCCAGGTTTGTTACTGGATCCACGGGGTAACATCCACAGGCGCTTGGGGAATGAATAATAGGGCCGGAGAGCTGCCATGCAAACTGCATTCTGTGACCTGCATGGGGCACTCTTAGTAAAAAGCCTTAGAACCTAGGATTACAAATTTTTGCTGTCTTTGGATTTCTTTGGGAAGTATCTGGGCTTAGAGTTTCTCTGTCCTTCTATTAGATTTTTTCTGAGAAATTGTGAACACATATCGCTTTCTTATATTGGATCCTCTAATCTGACTCTCTGGGCTGCTTTTTGGAAAGATTAAGTGTGTGAGCTGACTGTGATTCATGCACTTTGCCGTATACATGTTATACTTCAGCTGAGAGTTCATTTTTTAAAAAACATACACGTATAAAAAATAACAATTACCTCTACCAGATAGGACTGGTGTAGCAATCAGGAAGAGATTTTTTTGGGGGTGCCTAGGTGGCTCAGCCCGTTAATCATCCAACTTTTGATTTTGGCTCAAGTCATGATCTCACTGTTGTGAGATTGAGCCCCGCATCGGGCTCTGCTCTGACCGTGCAAAGCCTGCTGGGGATTTTCTCTCCTTCTCTCTGCCCCTCCCCCGCTCACACATGCACTCTCAAAAAAAAAAAGGCGGGGTGACAGGGAGAGACTTTTCATTTCATAAGTTATCTTAGCATTTGAATTTCTTTGAAAAACAAAAGAGCAAGTTTTACAAGAAAGAAAGTTATACTGAGCTAGTTAGTTTTGATGGGAAGACAAGATGATCTCTCAAGATTAGGATTTTGGAGTTCAGACTCATACCTGAGTTTAAATCCTGGTTCTGTCTGTTCTTGCTCCCTCACTTACACCTTGTCCATTACCTACCCAGAGTCTCCTAACAGCTTCCCCTTTTTCTTTCTTTCTTTTTTATTTTTTTTATGTTTGTTTATTTTTGAGAGAGAGACAGAGGGAGGGGCAGAGGGAGAGAGAGAATCCAAAGCAGCCTCCAGGCTCTGAGCTGTCAGCACAGAGCCCAACACGGGGCTCAAACTCACAAACGGTGAGATCATGACCTGAGCCTAAGTCTGATGCTTAACCGACTGAGCCACCCAGGCGCCCCAGCTTCCTCTTTTTCTTACTAAGTCTGATCAGCAGTCCACCTTGGGTGCTCTCTTCATCTTGCATGTAGAAGGCATCTCAACACAGACCTCTCATCGGTTTTCTTGTATTTTAATAATAGAAACAACAAATACTGGAATACGAAAGGAGAGAGGATAGTTGTAGCCAGGCTGACAAGTTCAGGGTGCATATTCCTTTTTCTACCAAGCATAATGTCCTTTGATGAATTATACCCTTTATCCTGCATAATTGCTATTCACAACCCATTATTCATGACCAGCCTGACATTCTTGCTCAAAAAGCAGCTCTTTCCACAGCTGTCCTATAGTCTGATCAGAGTAAATGCACTAGACACGAATGGTCTCATAAAGGATAATCTTGCCATGAGTGTTTTTAGAAAAATAAAGCACCAGGCATGCCTGCATCCTACTGGCTCTGACTAACCTCTGCTCTTACATATTTTAGGCTTTAAAAGAGATAGATGAAGTTGGGGACCTATTGCAACTGAAGTATTCGCGTCATCGGTTGGTACCTCTACTGGACAGGCCCTTTGACGAGACTACATATGAAGAAACAGAAGACTGAGCCTTTTTGGTGCTCCCTTGGAGGAACTCTTCCTACCAGGACAGTGTGTGGCTTTTCTGAGCCAGTTCCAGGAACCATACTTCTGTGGCCATCTCACGTGAAAGACATTTCCTCAACTACTGACGGTGGCCACCTCACTCTAAATGGCATTTTGTAAATAGTAAAAAACTGCTTCACATTCTTCCTTTGCTACATTTCACCTTTCAAAAAAGAGGTGACCCGCTCTACTTTTTTGTCCATTAAAAATGTTTTATTTTATAACTCTTCTCCTTGTGAAATCACGCTGACCCTAGCCTGTCCCTGGCTAACCACGCAGGCCGTTACCCTCTCCCCGCCGCCTGCAGACTTGGCCGTACAAAAGCTCCTGCTGTCCCCCGCACTACAGCCTAGAGACTCACCCGGCCCTCCTTCCCAGGGAGCAAGTGCCTTCCGCTTACTTCCCATCCAGGTCTCAGAGGCCACCAACCTCAGAATCCTTATTTAACCTGTCAAGGATTCGACCAAAGTGTTCCTTTCATCTCAAGTTTAGCCGTTTAAGAAAAACCTAAACACTAACATTGCTAAAACCGCCCCTCATTATGTATCTCCCTCTGGCCAGCAGCCTCCCAAGGCTTGGTCTTGTTCCGTTTTGTTCTGGTCACCAGATGATTTCTTCCTTCACCATCAAATATTTCTTTGTAATGGTCACCGTCTGAGGGCTATGTCCACTTTCTTGGGTTTTCCCCAAGCTCTAAACTAACACTCCCACTTGCTATTTAAAACACTTAAATTGTTCAAAAAGTACCCACATCCCACCCTGGTCAGACCTGTTGTGGTGGAGCTGACTCACACCTCGCTGTGTGTTCTGTGTCTACAGCTGTTTGGCAGAGTGACCTGCCATCCTGCAGGGGTCAGAGGGCCGGGGCAGTGTGGAGAGAACGGATTACTCCCGGTGGAACATCTGCGGTTGATTCATACTGTTTACTTTTCTGCCTGGGTCTGGGTCCAGATTAGGATTTAAACTGATAAAGGAAAATGTTGGTAAATCCTCTACTCAGAAATCATTTGTCATGTTCCTCTTTAAGGATTAAAGTTATTAACTTACCCTTTTTATAAGCTGACCCATTTAAATATTACTCTTCTGACTGCTAGTTCTCTTTTGTTATTCTTGATGTCCTAAGACAATTCTAATCTGGCATCTGGAGGTTAGGGTCTCTCTCTTTTTTCCTTTTTTTTTTTTTTCCTCTTGAGCAATCCTGAACACCTGTATCTCTTTGCTAAACTGGGATCCTCTATTTCGACTCTTTGCAGGTAAGGGGACTTCATTCAGAGAGCTTTATACTGCCTGACCAAAGAACAAATCTGAAAACCACCGTGTTAAAGCTCTTACTTTTTTCTGTTGACCAAAGCTTAAGTGAAGAGGACTTTTGACTTTATTATATCCAAAATCAGCTTGTCTTTTAGTAGCCATCAAGTAATTATGGGGGGAGGATCGGGAACAGAATGGAAGAACACTGTGTGAAAGTAGTTTTGCACGTCTCTGTTTTTGAAATCACTCCTTGAACTGGTAAAAATACTCAGTCCAAATTCTCCTGGGTATCTTGTCATCAGCTGTGGTGTTTGTGCAGATACACGTAGGGGAGGACAGAAGCAATATGATTGTTGGGGAAGTTTTGTTTTCACGTCTTACGTTACCTTTGGTCACTCTCAACATCTTGAGAGCTTCAGCCTTTGAAATACTCCAAGGTTTTGTTTTACTTTTTTAAACAATAGAAAAGGTGAATGAAAGAAGCAAGTAGAAATGCAGGGACTGTATTTAGCATGTGTAAATGGAAGTAAAGAGATTGTGTCAACTAAGTAGTCCTGTAAAAATACATTGCTAACCTTTCCCCTACATCTAGTTCCTCACCACAGAACCCCACTAGAGCACCAGAGTTTGCACTGTAGTTACTATCAAATGTTGTAGGGTTTGCAAAAGTCACAAACTTTAAGCAATGAACTTACCTGCTACTCTTTTTACTTTGGCTTGCATGAAGTCACTGCAATTTAAAATGTCAGTATGGGCATTTAAATATATATATATCTATATATATCTATGTATATATATATATAGATATATAGATAGATAGATACACACACACACACATCACTTTGCTGGTGCAAAGTTATGTCAGGATAAATGTAGTTAAGTTACAAGTTTATTTTTGAAGAGACAAAGCTGTGAGGCAAAGCAGGATATCTGCTTTCTAGAGAACAAAATGTTACACTCGCTGGTTGTCTCTTCTTGGAAACTGTAATATAAATCTAGGGTCCAGTCATATCACAAGTATCATTATTTAACCAAGCATCTGGGGAAATACAGGTGTATATATAAATACAGTCATTGGGAATGAGTAGACATAGGTATTGTTTGATGCATGGTTTAACACAGCCTGATTCACAAATCTGATGGGATGCAAACAGGTAGCAGCTAACTATTACTGCCAAAGCTGAGAATCGGAGTCAATCAGTAGAGATGGGGCTAAGTTTACCACTTTTTCTCATCCCTCTTTCTATTTAGCATTGCCTTTATCCATTTCAGGTTTATAAGACCTTTTTTTGCAGATCACATCAGAAACCAGGAAATTTATACCTAGGAGACATCACAATCACAAAGAATGGATCAAGAGGCAGTGGCAGATTCTCCTCCTGCATTTATTTTATTTATTTATTTTTTTTTTAATTTTTTTTTTCAACGTTTATTTATTTTTGGGACAGAGAGAGACACAGCATGAACGGGGGAGGGGCAGAGAGAGAGGGAGACACAGAATCGGAAACAGGCTCCAGGCTCTGAGCCATCAGCCCAGAGCCTGACGCGGGGCTCGAACTCACAGACCGCGAGATCGTGACCTGGCTGAAGTCGGACGCTTAACCGACTGCGCCACCCAGGCGCCCCTATTTTAAAAGCTTTACCCCAGAATATGGCATACGCTCTACAGCAAGTAAATATGCAAAGAGTATTTTCAGGACTGGGGTCTTTGGAGCACTTCAACTTTTTGCTTTGCTCCAGAAAATGTCTTCCCTTTAAAAAGCACCCTAGGAGCACCTGGGTGGCTCAGTTGGTTAAGTGTCCTACTCTTGATTTCAGCTCAGGTCATGATCTCATGATTTGTGAGTTCATGCCCTGAGTTCGGCTCGAGCTGACAACACAGAGACTGTTTGGGATTCTCTCTCTCTCTCTCTCTCTCTCTCTGTCCCTCCCCCACTCACATGCACACTCCTCATACTCTCTCAAACTTAAAAAAAATCATCCTAGTCTAGGGGCACCTGGGTGGCTCGCCTGGGTAAGCGTCCAACTCTTGATTTCATCTCAGGTCATGAGCCCCAGGATCATGGGATGGAGCCCCGCGTGGGGCTCTGTGCTGAGCGTGAAGCCTGCTCAAGATTCTTTCTCTTTCCCTCTGCCTCTCTCCCCATCTCGTGTGCGTGCTCTAGGAAATAAAAAAATAAATCATCTCCAGAACCCCCAAATACTGCTTGCTTGTTTGAAGAACTTGACATCTTAGTCCTGTAGTTACTATCTTAAGTTTTCATGATAGGGTGAGGACTTCAGAAGGTCACAGCATCCTTCTTCCTGATGCAGTCATGCAAGGTGAACAGAAATACCCTGTACAACTGCTAAGGGCTAGGTGTTTGCTCAGTGCCCTTTCAGAAGCCCAGGAATTGAATATTCTGCCAATGATTTTTCTCTGTAATCCCTCCCTCCTATATTTGGCCTTTCTTTCTCTACCTTCTTTCTCTAACAATTCTTGATTGTTAGCATTTCAAGTCCAGAGAAAACATACGTGGTGGTGCTGTGTTTGGAGGATCGCTAGGTCAGATACTCTTTTCTTGGGACACTCAGCCTTACCTTTCAGGGGAGATAGTGAGCTTCTTTGTGCCCTACTTGAGGGAACTTATATCTAAGTTTGTTATGACTATTACAGTCTAGCTGAACTTCCTAGTGTTTAATATGCTCTGCTTCATTTCTGTTAGTGAAAACCAGGAGAAAATGGCTTACGTGGAGAGATTTCCTGGCTTCTCAGGGAAGGGGGAAAAGCCACTACCTCCCTGTTTTTCCCCCCACCCCGCCCCCTTTCCTAATTGATAAGGCTCTGGCCCCAATCATACCAGATTGGGCAGCTTAGGCAGTGAAGAAAAAGAATTTGGGCAATTCTTGTTTTGTAAGAATTTGTCGGGATGTGGCAAAACCATCGACAGGAGATCAAATACAACTGACTGTGTCCTGGCTCTCTTGTGTGAAGAACGGCTGGGACCGAATTCCCAGGGTGTCTTTCCTTCCCTGGTGTTCTAGGTAAGCCACCATGGGCTTTAATCTCTGGTGGCTATAACCTGTGCGGTTAGAAAAGGGGAAAGACTGTAGTGCTTTTCCTCTGTCTGCCTTCATGAAGTTCAGAACTGTTGACCGTCTCCCACAGGTAAAATCAGCATAGGCCGAAGGGGTCATGAAGCGGGGAGTCATGAAAATCAAAAGATTCTTCTTGGCTGTTGAGCAGCTATTTGCTTAAATGCAGCCCGAGAACGTAAGATAAACTGCTACCTGCTTAACACGGAAGCTCAGTGCCCCGCAGGCATCTTAATCCATTAAGCCAGTTAATCAAAATCCCTTCCACGCGGAGAAAAGCATATCTATCTTCTCCTCAGCTTTGACCACAGGAAATGTAGTGTTTGGGCTCCTGCCCAATTCCCGTGTGCCCAGATAGCCTAATGAGAAAGTTGGCTTCCTGCCTTCTCATCCAGAAGAGACACCACGACCAGCCAATGATCCTTTTGCTTTTAATTTTATGGACAATGTTGCCCCTTCTGTCATCTCCAGTGACTTCTGTTTTCCAAGCACCTTTCGCTATAGACTGAGTCTTTTTTAGGTGGAAACCAAAGGAGTTAGCTTGATACTTACTGAAGTTGTTTAGTCTTCTCTGGTGGGTCTGGCAGTCCACGCTTGGAGGTGGCTTGATGGGGTAGCTGTGGGCAAGGTCTTGTTTACTACACAGCGCACATGATAGATGGCCTTAAACTGTGATTCTTTGTGGTATGATGAGTTATTATAAACCGATCCTAAAGAATGCAATGGTTCTTAAACTGCAGTTACACGTTTTTATTGAAGCAATACCCAAAGCTCTGTTCTTTGGAGTGGTTGTGGGGAAGCTGAATGGAAAGTAAAGACAAGAGCAATACCCTCATGTGCCAAGTGTCCTGCCTTGTTGCCATCTCCGTGGATAAGTGGATCCCTCCATGCGTGAGGA